TAATAATTTATACCTCCAAAGGGCACCAGCTCTTAGTCCCTCTCGTCCCGTGAATCCTACAGTCCTTAGCCGCTCCCCCTTTCCATGACCCTATCTCTGCCTCTCTCTGGTGTTGCTGCTTCTCTGGCTAAGGTCCCGCATTCTGCTTGTGCTCTTCTCCCTTGATGGTCCTAGGGTCCTCTGCTTCTGAACTGTATGATTAACCACTTCTCTGTTTTTGTTACAAAACTTCTACCTTTACAATTATGACAGTCACAATTAGTCATGATAACAATTATTCACTATTGAATCATATGAATCTTATCCCCATCGCTTTTTACCAGACCCATCTAGACAAGAAGAAAACTATTCAGTGGGGACTCTTTCTTCCCTGCATACTCTTAAACTCCCTCTTGAAACCTTGTAAGCCAGTCACTTCGTGCCTTTATCGCCCCCTCATTTTAGGTAGTCAGTGTCTAAGTTGCCTGTCCCTGTATACCCTGAGTATAGAGGGGATAGCATTGATGCTTGATGTGAAGATTCAGCATTGACACTTGATGTGAAGATTCCTTCCCTCTCTATTGATATTTAGAGTTACTACCAGGTGTGGCGCTGTGGGCTAATGCGTCAGACTGCAAAGTTGTTTGCCTGCAAGGTTGGTGGTTTAAGCTCACCAGCTGCTCCTTGGAAACCCTATACAGGGTTGCTATGGGTTGGAATTGACTTGATGGCACTTTACAACAACAATGTCCATGAGTATAAGTCAGGTTCATCAAATTGTATCAATTTACTTTTGCTTCCCTTATCAAAAAAGTTTTTTGTTTTTTTTTTGTCATCTTCCTCTAGTTGAGTTCTGATTATCAAGCCATCGAGGCTAGGTCAGATGGGTACTGTCTGCAAGTTTGGGTGTTCTTGTGCATCTCCCCTCACTTCATATCAGCTGGATGCTTCAGTCTCAGCTCTAACCCTCTGTGGATTTGTCCTTATCCATGGGTTCAAGTGTCTCCAGGTCTCACCACACTTTGGACCAACCAGCCCTTCCTTTTTCTCTCTGTCATCTCCAGGTCAGTGGGAGTCAATGGACTGGGGTTGAACTTAGCCCATTTCTTCATTGCTGCCTTTCCCCTTCTTCCACTCACCAGTAGACCAATGTGGTCACCAGCAAGCTTACATGCCTGTAAGCTTGTGTTCCCTTTGAGTTTCAGTCTTAGAGGGGAGTTTGTCCTGAAGGAACTTGATTCCTTGCCTTGATGGCTTCCTGGTGAACAACTCGCTTATACTTGTAGTAGCCAGACATTCTGACTTTTTTTTTTTTTCCCCCGATGACCTTTCTTTGAAGATGTATCTTCTCTTGCTCTAGCTGTTCCAAGCTGGTCTGCTTGTCCTTGCTAGTGGCAATATCCCACCTCAGAATGTTCTGTATGGGTCTCAGGATTCTATCTAAGGTCCTATACTCTGCAGAGGCACTGCAAGAGGCCTATTTCACTGGGCAAGTTCTAGAACCTCTTTTAGATGTTCCAATCATTTATAGGCTGAAGACAGGCTTACAAGTTTTCTGTAATCATATGTACCCAACATTCCTTTCTATCCCACTCAAGTGTCTGTTTTACAATAGTAGGCAAGGGAAACCAATATTCATAAGACAGTCAAGCATTTTAGTATTGTTTCCTTTCTTCAAACTATGTCTGTATCTCTGTATCACAGAGCCCTGTTCCAAGGTTGAGCATGCATCACTATTTACCTCTGTCCCACTTAGGCCATGCAAACCTGTCTCAGTGTTCCCCTATCTATCTTGTTCTTCCACCTCCTCCCCCTTCTT